GTAATAGATATTTTGTACTTGACATTTTGATAAATAAATAAAGTTGTGTTATTTATGAGTAAAGCTACTATCTTGTGTTGATTATTTATCTATTTTTTCTTTTTTCCATGTTTTGACTTCCTGAATAATAAGATTATTCGAACAGTCCACATTCGTTCATACTTTGGAAGTATGTGTGAATGAAGACTGTCATGAATTGTTTGTAGATTATCTAAAAGGTTTTGGGCATAGCAAAGGTTTGTTGCAAAGTTCATGAGTGCTTATGAATATGATTTGAGCATTGGAATAAACCTGCGTTTGCTGGTATCACTTTGTGGTGCTTTACCTAAAGTGATTGCAAAACGATAATATCATATAGTCTTAAAACTTAGAGATACGGTTGTTGTTTTCTTGTTGGTTATGCATTGATGATGTGTAAACGCATCAATAACTTGATGTTATAAAACACATTGTTGTGCATGATTCAATTAGTGAATAATAGATGCATATGAGTCGAAGTTAATCTGTTCCTTTTATTCTATGAGAATAAAGGTGATATCTTGGCCACTTGATGATTTGGTTTGACTTATGTGTCGTGCCCGGTCAGAATGAAGTTGATGTGTTCAACTAAATTCTATGTCGAACATATCGGAGATCAAGAAACAAGTGCTGGACAATAAGTATTGTTAGCATGATATCTAGAACAAAGGATTATACGATCCCTTATCTGAAGGATGAGTTACTGATCAGAGTTGACAGCGACGTGTAAGAGCTACGATTGCAAATCGGATCCTGAAGTCATATGTGAGATATAGTTACTAGGCTTATCCAAGTGGGAGACTGTTGGATTAGTGTCTAAGCCCGTAACTATATTTGATATGTACTTGGCCCGGTTGTGCATGGTCCTTTTGGGTTGCCTTCACTAAAGCAACTTGACAAAGCAATTTAAGGAGAGAGAGAGAGAGAGAGAGAATATTATGGTTTATTAATATATTATAAGAATAATATATTAAAGGATAAATCATATTTATTTAATTAGTATTGGTCATAAATTAATCAGGAATTAATTTGGTGACTAAAAGAGATTAATTAAATAAAGGCGCATAAACTGTCAAATGTATGATAGTTGAGTTTTGGGCTGGGAAACCTAATGGACTATAGGGGGAACGAAATTATGATGGGGATCCATCATATTTTCATCTAAGGCCTTATTCCAGAGGGTTCCTTGGGCTGCTTAGTGGCTAAGCTGTCCATTAGGGTTTAGACTGAAACCCTAGCAGCCTGCAGTATAAATAAGACCCATAGGCTATGAAAATCGGATACACTTGTTTCCAAGAGAACCCTAGGGCTGATTTTAGCATCTCTCACCCTCTCTCATATTGCCTTCTTGCTTGTGGGGTTTGTGAACCATTAGCGGAGTTATAATTGTGACTGTAAGCTCAAGATCAAGAAGACTACAAGGATTTCAAGCTATTTGATTGAGGTAAACACTTATATCTGTGCTTATAATGTTAATTTCGAATTATATATGATAGATCTAGGGTTATAAGTCTTGGATTCAAAGCATGTACAATAGAGAAACCTAGATCCAAGCATTAGGGTTTGTATGAGCACATATGATTGTTCTTATGCATAAAACCCATCACAAGGAACCGAGGGATCATGGTAGATCTTGACATATCGACAGAAAATATCAATTTATTAGACATTTGGTAGAAGAAGGACTCCTCGTAGTAAAGAGGGTATCGTCAGAGGATAACCCAGCAGATCCTCTTACAAAGGGACTGAGTAGGGTTAAGCACTTGCAGCACGCTAGGAGCATTGGGCTGAAGGACGATATTAGCTTGGATTAGATAGTTTAGAAACGTGTAATAGATAAATGTAATTGACATTTGATGATTAAATAAAGGAGTATTATTTATAAGTAAAGTCATTGTGTTTTGTTAATTGTTTAACTATTATTTCACTTTGCATGTTTTGACTTCCTGAATAATTGAGTTAATTAAGAATAATCGAATTATTCAAACGGTCCACAGTCGTTCATATGTTGAAGTAGGTATGAATGAAGACTATTATGAATTGGTGTGTAGACTGTCTGAAAGGTATTAGACATAACAAAGGTCTGCTACAACATTCATGAGTGGTTATGAATAAGTTTTGAGCATTAGAATAAACCCGCGCTTGATAGAATCACTTCATGGAATTTATCACGAGTGATCGCAAAGATGATAATCTCATATGGTCTTAAAACCAAGATATATGGTTTATTGTTTGCTAATTGATTGTGCATTGATAATGCGAAAACACGTTAGTAACTTGATGTCATAAAACGCATTGTTGTGTATAATTTTATTAGTGAATAGTAAATGCATATAAGTCGAAGTTTATATGTTCCTTTTATCCTAAGAGGGTAAAAGCGATATCAGGGCCCCTCGATGATTTGATTTGACTTATGTGTCGGGCCCGGTCAGGACTGATTGATATGTTCAATTAAGTTCAATGTCAAATGAATCTGAGATCGAGAAACAAATAGCTGGACAATAAGTAGGACTATGTTCCATTAGATTGTCCGCACAATATCTAAAATAGAGGACTGTACGATCCCTTATCTAAAGGACAGGTTGCTGATAAGATCAGAGTTTGACAACATCTTTGAGAGCTACGATTGCTAATCGAGTTATACTTGCATTTATGGTTACTAGATTTATCCAAGTGGGAGACTATTGGATTAGTGTCTAAGCCCATAACCATATTTGGTAAGTACTTGACCCGGTTGTGCATGGTCCTTTTGGGTTGCCTTCACCAAAGCAACTTGACTGGAGAAATAATAGAGAAAGAGGTTATTAAGATTTATTAATATATTATAAGAATAATATATTAAAAGAGAAATCATATTTGTTTAATTAATATTGGTCAATAATTAATTAAGAACTAATTCTGTGATCAAAAGTAATTAATTAAACTAGAGGGGCTGAACTGTAATTATGTGATATTTGCAAATTAGGGCAATGGATGCCCTATGGATAGGGTGGACGAAATCAAGGGGATAAGGCCTTAGAATTCGTCCAAGGATAAGGCTTCTAGACTTGTCTTATGGGCTGCTTAGTGGGCAAGCAACCAGATAAGGATAAGGACTGAAACCCTAATCTCCACCCTATTTAAGGACCCCTTGGCTAAGGGAAATCGGCCACTTGATCCCTAGAAGATCTAGAGCCGATTTTCTACCTCTCCCCTCTGTCTCTCTCTTGCCTCTCCATTTACTCTTGGTGTTTGTGAGCCATTAGAGATACTACACTTGTGGTACTTGCTTTCAAAGACAAGAAGATTGAAGATTTGAGTTGTTATTACAATATAACAACAAGAGGTATGTAATCCTTCTACTATCTAGATTTCAAAATACCTAGGAGCATGCTAGGGTTCTTCTTGTGTTCATAATGTTGTGTATCTAATAGTGAAAACATAGATCCAAAATCTAAGGTTGCATGCACACATATGATTGTTTGTATAAAACCCATCAAATTTTTGGTGGTGAAAACCTTCTTCAAGATGCTCAAGATCTCAAAAATTAGAGAGGAAAGGAAGGAGTGTTCTTGTGAATGTTTGAGAGAAATTTGCAAATGGAGTGTGTGTGTGCATCGTCGGCCGATGGGAAGAAAAAGAGAGAGAAGGGATGAGTTGCATGGAAATATGAGAAACCATGCCTTATTACGTGGTGAATAATATGGAGGTGGCACCTCCAAAGTCACCCCCCCCTATTTCATTTTTTTTGTTATATGTTGTTGGGCCGAGAGTTTGGGCCAAGAAGATAGGAATGGAATAGTTTGAGCCCATTAAACTTTATTTAGGATTTTTGGAACCTAATCATAAAATTTTCAGCTCATTGGGCCCTTGGAAGCACTTACGGCCCAACATAAGATAAAGGGATGGGTTTTAGGTCCATTAGGGTTTACTGGAGTGGGTATGGCCCAATAAGACCCATTAGGGTTATAATGAATCATTCTAGGACCAAATGGTCCAAAATGTTATAGATTTATGGAAGTGGGTCCAATTAGAGCCCATTTAAGGGTCCTAAGCCCAAAATAGTAGAATTGAATACTTATTGGTCCATTAGGCCCAATAAGGGAATCCTAGCCCAAAATAGACTTAAACAGAGATTCCTAGGGTTTTCAGGTTCTTTGCTGAACATGAAAGGTGAATTTAAATGAGCACTAAGTGATATTTACTTAGAGTATATGTTTTACAATGGTTGAATGGTTACATAGGAATATAATTTCCTAGCTAAAATGCTAGTTGTGACACATCTGCTTCTAGCTATGGGGTCCGTGCCCTATGATATTCTGGAGCTCCACAAGCCTTGAACTCCCGGAAAGTCAGTGTACACGACCCTATCATGGCTGCCACCTTAGTACGGAAAGCGCTCAGCTTCTCATCCAGAAGCTCCAAAATACCCTCCTTGACCGAACCAAAGATCACATAAGTTTGATCTAAAATGCTGTGCGTGATCTCAGATGAGATAAACTCCCTTGTCTGCTCATCCATCTACTCGACTCGAGAGCCCGATGATTGATCCTCACAAAATCAAAAATTCTTGCCTACAATCCGGTGGTTTTCATTCGAATTCTAAATTCTAATACCAAGTAAGACACAAGGAATCGAAGTTCTTTATTCGACTTATATTAATTCAATATACTATTGATTGCATAAATCCTTTTTCCACTTCTTCTTTATTTAGAAACTAAAATTTTTAGTATATATGCGGTGCCAATCCAACACAAGTCCTTTCCATGCTAATCGAACCAAACAAAAGACCTTGTTATTTCTAAAGAAACTATGTAAGGCAAATACTACTAAATAGAAAAAAAGGAGCAATATCTTCCCTCTTGTTTTATCAAGAGGACGTTATTGCTCCTTTTTTAGTTCAAAAACTCTTATACAATTACAATAAGACCAAAGTCTTATCCATTTGTAGATGGAGCTTCAATAGCAGCTAATTCTAGAGGGAAATTATGAGCATTACGTTCATGCATAACTTCCATACCAAGGTTAGCACGGTTAATGATATCAGCCCAAGTATTGATCACAAGGCCTTGAGTATCAACTGCCGATTGGATCTCTTATCCCTTACCAGTGCCTGAAGTGCCAACCGGCCTAGTGTGTAGCGTCACCATACTGAAAATACACCATAATAAACATCAGTATACTCATTATATCTCAAGGGATCTCACATACTACAAGTTTACTGGGCACATCTCAGCCTTCCTTGATTCGAGTACGGATCCTCTGCTTTTAGCAGTGTTGTAAAAATCGGCCTAGGCTGCCGATTAATCAACGCCTAGGCGCTAGGCGGTTGTCAACCGATTACGTTTATACCTAATCGGCATATGTAATCGTTTTAGGTCAAAGTCGGACCTAATCGGAGCTAGGCTGGGCTAGGCGGAGTTGGGCGCCCTGATCGGTCAAAATACAGTCAATAGAGTTCAAAATTTTCAGGGGCAAAATTGCCAAACCATTGCTAGGGTTCGTTTCTTCTTACTCATTCCATCTCAATCGCATTATCAATTTCACTGCTATCTCTCTCTCTCACACATCAAAAACGACAATGTCTTCTTCTTCTTCTTCTAAGAATTTCGTTTGTTCCAGGATCGTCGTTGGCTTCCAAGATCATTGTTGCCATCCAAGATCGACATCGTATTCCAGTCATCTACAAGATTGCGTTGTCGCTCCTTCTCCTTCGACATCCTCTATCGTCGTTCCTTCCCCTCCGACGTCCTCTTCTCCTCCGAAATCCCTCTGATGCCTTCAGCTCCTCTATTCCTAATGATACCGCCGACCTATACAAAGTTCCCGATGATACCGAGACCGCAAAGTAATCATCCAAATGTTGAAATTCCCTGATTAGATCTTGAATTAAGCTTAGCTTTTCACTTGGGTTATGCTAATTTTGCTTCTTATAGTCAATATTTGTTCATATATTAGTTTCTTTTTTTGATTGTTCTTGGTTATAGAAATGAATAAAGTGAAAGCTTCTTTGAATTTTGTCATCGTTGATGATTCCTGTTATTAAAGTGTGAAGACTTCTTTGAATTTTACAGTTTTTGATTGTTTTTGGTTCTGCTAATTTTTGTTAAATTAATATGAAGTATATACAAAGCCTACTGATTTGTGATGATATTAGATTAAGTGATGATAAATTGATATGAATATGCTGTTAATGTGATGATATACTTAATTTTTCTGTTAAAATGATATGTGAGTGAGTATATTTAATGTGTTAATGTGATTTTCTAATGTGTTAAACTAATATGAGTATGGTGTTAATATGATGATATATTAGATGAAGTGATGATAAACTGATATGATACATAGCATGTTGATTTGAGTGATCAATTTTAATGTGTTGATGTGAGTTTTTTTTATAACAGTTGATGAAGCTCTTGCAACCAATGTTACTCAAGCACCCCGAGAAAGTCCAAAAACGAGGGAACTTTTCAATGAAGATTTCGAGTTCGAGAGTGAGGAGCAAGTGTTAGAAGAAGATGAATATGACTTAGATGGGGTTCAAATAATGGAAGTATGTGGAGAATATTAGAAGAAAATTCTTATGCTTGTTAAACTCATATTAAACTTTTATGGACTTGTTGGATGATGATTTTGTGTGCTTGTTAAACTTATTATTAAACTTTTATGCTTATTTTGGATGATAAATGGTTGTGCTTGTTAAACTTATTAAGTTTTTATTAAACTTTATGCTTATTTACTTATATTCTTAGTATTAAAGTTAGATTTATTAATTTTTGAATTATTTTTTTTAATAATTAATGGTTCCCTATTAATCCCTCGATTAATCTCCGTTTAACCGATTAATCCTTAGACCCCAGTCCACCGCCTAGCTAACGTCTAGCGTTTTCTGTAACCTTGGCTTTTAGTAGTATGGGCCCATACTACCTTCCACATTTATCCGTACTTTCCTCAAGAACTGCCTCGACTCCACTAAGTCCCTGCTACTACTATTGTTGATCTCATGCTAAAATCATCCTAGGCTTGCCCTAGGGTAATCACCAACCCACTCTCCGCTAGCAGCTGCATAAGAAGTCACAGCTATCTCCCTCTAACTAGCCGAGTCGAGGGCTCTTGACTCTTTGAGTAGATAGTTTAAACCCTGCGCATAATCTGCCTTCTACTCGACGAGTTAGGGTCACTAACTCATCGAGTCCCTCTCTTAAAATAAATATGTTAAATGCATACCAGAAACCACACGTTACAATTCTTGCATTTAATTATTGTTGCAACTCATGCTCCTGAACTAGCATTTTATCGTTAAGGAAAAGGTGATCCCAAATTGGAAGAAGACATGTAGAATGAGCTTGATACTTTAATAGCTAAAAGCACATGGGATGCTGTAAAAATTCCAAAAGGAAAAAAGGTAAGTCTTATCGTTGGTTCACAAAGTCGAGTACAAGGATTATTGATAGATTGAAAGGCATACAACATGATTAGTGGTAAAAGGTTTTAGACAAAAGAAGGTATAATATCTCATGAAATGTTCTCCTATTTTCAACTTTAATATTGTATGTTGCATCGCTTCTTTGGCAGTAAAATGAGGTTGGAATATTCAACAAGTCAATGTAAACAATGCTTTTCTTGATGATGATCTACATGAATGTTGAATCTCCTAATCTTGTTTGTAAATTGAAGACATGCTCGTATGGCTTAAAAAAGCCTCTCGTTAATGGTTTGCAAAGCTTTCCCAAGCATTACAAATCAAAGGATTCTATCAGTCTCCACATGATTATTCCTTATTTTTTTAAAAGTCACAATACTTCCTTATTCACGACCAAATTTGGATTAAAGATCTTCGATACATTACTTACTTTCATGGAATTAAGTTTAACATTATCGATAGTGGCATGGTTGTTCATCAAACAAATGTTTATTAAAGAGCATCTCACGTTGTATTTAATGACTGATTTTGTTGGTACATCAACATCTACCACCAAATTAAGTTTAATTTTCTTCCTCTTATGGACAATCCATGAAAAGACACCACTATGTATCGACAATTTATTGGCAATAAGAACTTCTTTACAGATATGTCATGATCTCTCTTACATAGTACAATACATGAGTCATTTTAATGAAAATTCCACGACAAGCACATTATGACACAACTCTTCATGCATTAAGATATCTTAATGATACAATGACTCAAGGCTTCTTCTTTAACAAGGAAGATAATTTTATGGTTGAAGCTTTTTATTATTTTAACTGTTCTTGACCAATCACTGAATCACATGTTGTTTTGTAATTAGATATATACTTTATTCTTTTTGGTGGTACCTTGTGTCTTGGAAGTCAAAATAACATGTCATTATTTCCATATTCTCTGTCGAAGTTGAGTACATATCAATGCAAATAGTATGTAATGAATTAGCATGGTTAAGATGATTACTAAGTGAACTCCAAGTTGTAGATATAATTCATATCCCTCTCAAGTGTGACAATCTAGCTTACAATGTTGGGTTTGTGGAGACATAAATGACAAAGTTCAAGGGCTCTATAATTTTGGTAGTTAAGGGTGATCACAATTTATCCATATTCTGGTAGAAAATTAGTTTGAGTATTCCCGCTGAGTTCACGTATGTATTAGTTTTGACTCTATAATTTTGTTTAAGCAATCAATGAAAACATTCAAAGCCTCTTTCATTTCTCTCAAACTAGAAATTCTTACACATTCGACCAAAATAACAATACATATTAATATGCTCTTTCTAAAGAAACCACATATGTAATGCGCTAGCAAACCATCCATGAGAGCAATTCAAACTTACAGTTTAATCAACATCGATCACATATAGAGGCTCTGGTTTGGCAACCTTTGTGAAGGGACAACGATGAGTGGTTCTCTTTTCCTTAGTGTAATTCCAAATTTTTCAGAGAGATCATACACTTCACCCTCTTGCAAGCTCCAGTCGAATGAATGCAAGAGCGATGCCAAGATATACATCTGCATTTTCTCAGCCAATGGAACACCTGGACACGATCTTCTTCCCGATCCAAATGGGAAGAAGTTTAAATTGCTCCCTATGTAATCGTATTTGTTTCTCAAGAACCTATCTGGATTGAATTCCAGTGGATTCTCCCAATAATGAGGATCCCGATGGATTGCCCATGCATTCAAAAACACTGTACAGCCCTTTGGAATGATGTATCCTCCTACAATACAATCCTTGCTTGGCGACCTTGGGAGTATGAATGGAACTACCGGGTGCAACCGAAATGTTTCCTTAATTGTTGCTTCTAGGTATTGTAGTTTTGGGAGATGAGATTCTTCGACAATGTTGTCAAGTCCTACAATTTCTTCTAATTCTTCTTGGACCCTTTTCAATATGTCACTATTTTGCATTATCTCTGCCATTGCCCACTCTATCAGTGTTGTCGATGTTTCTGTTCCTGCTACCATAATGTCCTGAATAAAACAAAATTTTAACCATATCATGACATTTTTTAATGATCAATATTTATCATCTCGGAGTTCGGACTTTGGACATTATTTAAATTAAAGACTAATGATTACCTGGAGAAGTGCTTTTACTTGAGTCCGGTTAATTGATATTACATTTTTTTGATCCATGAGTTCCAATAAAACCAGTAGAACATCTTTCTTTCCTTCATTCCCAACCGCGTGCTTCGATTTTTTAGAGTTAGATTCAATTCGATCGTCAATAATGCTTGTGAAAATTTCATCCAAACGATTAAGCTGCCTCTTCATGTTCCGCTCCACGCCTTGTAGATCAAGCCATGCAAGACTAGGGAAGACATCAGAGACATTCAGCTGTCCCATGAGCACAACAATATTCGCCGAAACCATCTGCAACTGTGTTCCAAAATTGCTACTTTTTGCCTTTTCAGCTGAAGTGTTTCCCCAAACCATGCTCGTTAGAACATTGGCCTCTGTGGAGAAAGCAATCTCGCTAATGTTAATTGAGGTTCCGATTTTACTAAAAACATTCTTGATAGTTTTCCTAACTTCATCTCTTCGGAAACAACTGGATGCTTCAAGATTCTTGTTGCTTAGGACCTCCTGGACAAATATCTTACGAAGGTTACGCCAATCTGAATTGCTGTCTGACCACACAATATCTCGGCCTCCATAGGAGCTGCCTAAGGCAGCAATTGTTGGATTTCGGTTGGCAAAGATCTCATCCTTCTCACGAACTACCACCTTTGCTAACTCAGGGGTGTTTATCACGACATGAAGTTTGCTTCCGAGGTGGAACTTGAAAATGGGACCATAAGTGTTAGCCATGGTGACGAACTGTTTGTGCAGATCACGGCTAAGAAATGGAAGGTAGCCTACAATTGGCAAGGAACGGGGACCTGGTGGCAACGGTGGTTGTCCACCATTGGAGGAGCTTGAAAATTTCCATCTGTACCAGAAAGCAGTCAAGATTATTGCTGAAATGGCCAGCGTAAGCTCGTTTCTGTTGCTGCTCATCACTTCCCACCACCATGATCCCTGGTTGTTTAGTTGTGCCATTTTGCAATCGACGAATTTGAGTACAATATTGCGATGGTAGGATTTACATCCGAAGTTATCGCCAAAGCACCAATACAAACTAGTATAACAAATACAATAAAAATAATATTTTTAATTAAAAAGAACAGGTCAAAATTGGTATGCAATACAAAAGATAAAACACGTGAAGCCTTAATTCTCGCTCAGATATTGTTTAAATAAAATCAGCTTTATATTTTGTTGTATTAAATACTAGGTTTAAACCCGTGGAAATCCACGGGTGATAAATTGAAATATAATTATAGTTTTTAATTTGTAACAAAAAAAAGATATGAAAGTTTAGAAAAAATGAAGAATAGTGATATTAGCATTAATATGAATAAGTCAAATACAATAAAGTTGTAAAAATTAATTAATTAATATGATAGATGAAGTACGATACAAGAAAAGTAAATAAAAGATGGTAGAAAAGTAAATAAAAGATGGTAGAAAAGCATTGTTTATAAATTCCCAAAAACTTCCTTATAAACAACATTGGAAGTTTTATTTGTGAGACTACCATCCTTATCTAAAATTAACAATTTTAATCTGTCCCTACTTTGGACTCTAGATAAAGCAACATACAATTGGCCATGTGAAAACACGGGATGTTTGAGAAACAAACCAACCTTGGATAATGACTGTCCCTGACTCTTATTAATGGTCATTGCAAAACATACAGCCAATGGAAACTGTCTTCTTCGAAATTTGAATGGAATTTTCTTTTCTGATGGAGTTAGAGACATTCTTGGAATAAAAGTGTGGTTTCCAATATTAGTTCCAGATATGATACGTGCCTCAATAACACGTTTGCGCAATGAAATCACCTGGAGTCTTGTTCCCTTACACAAGCCGTTTTTCTGATCAATATTTCTCAGCAACATAACTGGAACACCGATTTTTAAAACTAAAATATAATTGTTGAAAAAAACCTGTGGAGTAAGATTATTTTTTTCCAATTCATCAATTATGTCTGCATTCTCGGTTAATCTTGATATCCCATAAAGATTACTTTTATTATCGACATTGTAACGTGTGATATCAATCTTAATTGCCAACTTTCTGTCCAACACAACTTTCAACTCCATTGGATACAATTCCAAATTGTTGCCAAGCTAAAATGTAAATAAATATCATTAGAAAATTTGTATGTAAAATATATAATGCCAAGTTTTAGGCCAACACAATTGTAAACACCTTTTGAAAAAAATCCAAACTGATGCCAAGTTAAAATATAAAATAATACCTTCTTGTTTTTATCATACAACTCTTTAGCTGTGTATTTGAACAACTTCTTTGCTTCTTGGTCAAATAAAGTTAAAGTCAATGTTCCTGTGTTGTCTTGAACCCGAAGTGGGATTTTAAATCTAAATAAAGTATAAAATTATATTATATTAGACAATTATGATAAACATATATTATTATTATATAAAATTAATATCTAATACCTTGGAATAACCGAAATTTTGATATTTTTGCATTTAAGATTAGTACATTCATAAGTAACGATTTCGGCCACTTCATGAGAACCATCAACCTTATCAGTTGAAGACTCTTTTTCTTTTGCTGACTTTTTGCAGTTGCTACAAGCAAGGTAATACCAACGTATATTTTGACGTATTCCCTTAACAGTACCAACAATAATGACTGTCTTTTCCTGGATATTAAAATAATGCTCATTGTTAATAAATGTTATTTTGCGAAAGTGTATTTTAGTTTAGTTATAACAATATACTCTAAATATGAAAAAACATTTAAAATTTAAAAACATAAGTGCATTAAACTAACAGTTTTAAAAATAATGTAAAGTACCTCCAAAGGTTCAAACAAGTCTTCAATGTTAGAAAACAAATGATTTTTCAGAAAGTCATCATGTTCTGTGTCTTGTTTTGATGCAATCATTTTAATTCCACTTGATGACAGTTGTTGTCCATTTTCAGAGACCAATCTGTTCATTTACAACAAAGAAATGATTTAAATTTATTATAGTATGAAATAAATAAATCTGATAATACATAGGAAATTCTAAATGAAAATACTTGTTTTTGTAGATTGTAATTTCATCGATATCATTGTTTATGAAAACCCTACTAACATCAAAGTAGGTGGATGAAAAAGGACGACCTGCCAAAATAAATTTGATTATTCAATATATATATATATATATATATATATATATATATATATATATATATATATATATATATATATATATATATATATATATATATATATATATATATTAGATTATACTTGTTAAAAATAGTTACAAACCATTAATAAACTTCACCCTAGCAAATTGAACAATAACAACAACTGGAGCAAGGCTGTTATTGTTAGCAAGAAAATCATGCATGTAGTATGCATTATGACCCCACAAAGTTATCTTAAGCTTAGTATCCCTGAAATAATAAACAAATATTGTAAATAATATAAATGAAGCTATATTACTTGTTTGTAATAATAGTGAATACTCTATATCTTGAAGATGCAAGAGCATCTTGTGTTTTGATTTATCTTGTTCTGAGGTATCCATATGCCCATACTCAAAAATGTGTCCAATAATATCTACAAAAGCAAGGAAATATAATTTAATATAAAATATCAAATTGTAATACAAAGAAAGAATTTAGGATGTTATATAGAAAAAGTTAATATTAAATAAACCAACCAAAAGAGTTTGACTCTAGGATGTTGTTAGAAACGATAGTATTGAAGTCAACAAAATGAAAGCCATGTGCAGATCCAGAAAAGTTTTCACAATCTTTTACAATTGTATCGTGATAAAAATTTAGTTTTGATTCCGGATGAGAAAACTTAAATTTTGAAGTATTTGGTGCGACGTTAGGTTTCTTGACGTAAATTGAACTATCCTCTTTTAAATAGCGCTTGAATTTAGGAAACCATTTCTTCACACATGATGCATGAATTTTCCTTCCCTAAAATAAATGAAATAATAAATATTTAAATATAATTGCTTATGAGTATGAATAATATAATTGCTTATGAGTATGAATAATTTTTTATAAAAATAATAATTGAATACATCCATCTTATACCTCCTCATCCATCAAAATCATTTCTATCGAGTATGTGTCGTTCGCATCAAATCTTGACTTTTGAGTCCAAAGACGTATGATCCGAACTTTAATTGTGAAATCGTCCTTGATTGAGTCAATTTCCTTTATAGGAGTAATATGTTCCATTGTACCTTGCAAGTTAAAAAAAAAAGTTTACATTAAATTAGACAATTATAATCAGCACACAGAAAAAAACAATCAAACAGTCAAGAAGAAAGTACATTGGTAGGCTGTTACGATTAAATTAGACAATTATAATATGCGTTTTTCCAGGTGAGTATTCATATAAAATATTTATTTCCTTAATTAAAACAACAAAAGATATATTTTTATTTATTTTTCCAATTTGCATAACTTTTTTTATTGATTTAATAAAGTTGCATACCAAATTGTTAGGCTGTTACGATTTCACCACCTAAAATATGTATATTTGTATTATAATATATTATCTTGTTAGTATTTCATGAATGCAATCAATAACACTTGTGTGCTTTGAATGCGAAGTTGGATTTAGCTTTGCTATAAGTTTCAATCGATTTTGAAATTGAGTATTGTTCGCATTTGTATGAGTGTAGTCGATGAATCGATAAAGCAAGAACATATGAGTTTTGATTCGCAATTGGATTGATGATTGAGGGATGATTCGTGAAGAAAAACACGAAGTCAAGGACTGTGAAATTGTTGTTTGCAAGAATTTAAAAACTCGATTGTGGAGTTGTTGATGCTCATTTTGCGAAAGTAAAACAATCGAGTGTTTGCATCTGTGAATCAATTTGAAGTCAATTGGGTTAATATTCGCATATGGGTTCAACATATGAATTTTTGATTTCGCAAGTTTAGAGTTCAAGAACTAAACTGTGTTCGCATCTGGAATGAAAATTTTGTGGTTCGCATTTGATTAATTAGGTTAAAATGCGAAGGTGATTAATGCGAAGGGATGCGAAGGGTGTAAGAATGAAGATGCGAAGTATTTCACAGTAGAATGCGAATTGGGGAAGAAAACAGAAATTTTCAAATATTGTCCCTGGAGTTTCGCATTTTTGGAAATAAATACTCAACTTCGCAAATGGGGGTCATAAAATGATGAAATTGCAGAATTTTTAAAGAGATACACACACATAGACAACCACACATATATTTAGAAAATTAAACTAAAAGATGATAAATTACAGATTATAGCATTGTTCTTTGAGAATAAATTACTAAAAATGGGATATAGTGTAACAGGAACTTCAAAAAGAAATTGATACTTTTTTGTTTATTATATAAACGGTTTGATAAATCAGACGAAATAATCAATTCTTTTGTTTATCATTTAAGTGTAGATGTTACCAAGAAAACAATGAGAAAATTACATATTTACTGATATACCCTTAAGGGTATATAATGAGAAAAAAACTAAAAATCAAAACTAAACAGAAAAAACCTGTATATTTAACAAAAAAATTAGGATATAAACAGGAAAATCGTAAAGCACTGATTGATTTATATATTTAATTGTATCACTTGCAAACATACTTTTCAAAAACAGATATAAACATATACGTACATATAGACAATAAAACATATATTTAGAAAAATAAACTAAAAGATGATCAATTCCAAAATATAGTATTGTACTTTGAGAGTAGATTCCTAAACATAGGATATAGTGTAACAGGAAGTTTAAAATGAAATTTGTAATTTTTTTGTTTATTATTTAAACGGGTTTGATAAATCACATGAATTGATAATTTGAGTTACTTTTTCAACAGGTTTGTAGTTTATATGAATATGATGTTAAAAGAAACCACCAACTGATAAAAGTATTTTCAAGTTTTCAGAAAACGTGTCATGTAAGAAAAATCATTATGGAAGAATTATTGGTCTAACCATCCAAATACCCTAATTACGATTAAGTATTTAGATGGACCAAATCATTGGAGGAAGCAAATAGGTGTAGAAGAAATTGAATGGTCCTATGACTCTAATGTATCACATACAGTTATATAAGATACACATATTAAGAAAACCAAAAATCGACATACACAGATCGTGACTATATGTACCAGAATATACATAAAGAAATACCAATGTATCAAACTCTTATACATAACAGGTAAAAAAATAGAGGGAAAATGATGAAATCGATTAAGAATGTAGATGAAATAGAACATCTGAAAGGTAAAGAGCAATGTAGTTTTGCTGACCTGATGATGAATACGTGACCCTTAAAATCGTATTGACTTCTGAAATTGTATTGAAATATATCATCTCTTCCTAAACTGATTGCCTGATTTTTTGGGATTGATATAAAATGGAATTTAAATTGATTACCTGATTTATTGGGATTGATTTGATCTTCAATATTCCACCGAATTAAATTTGAAATTTCCTGATTTATATATTTACTGATTGACGATTTATGTTTCCTGATGTGTACAGTTTTATTTTTGAGAATAGAAGGGCGAAGTGGGAACTTCACTTATAATTTTTGAGCGGGAAAATGCAAGGGTGAGTGGCTAAGGGAATGCCAGGTGGCGTTTCTAGTACTGTTTTATTAGTAGAGAAGATTAAATTTGAAAAGTTTAAATCATTTATTACCATAAATTAATGTAAACTTTTTAACAAGTTGATACTTTTTTAAATTTGAGGGGTCTTGTTGAGATACGTGATATGATTTTCAGAGAGCAGCTTGCTTACTTACTGCCATGGACTCAGGGAGGTCCAGTTTTTCTCTTTCCTTTTAGATTTCAAATCACTCCAAATTTGGTAATTGATTCTGGTTCACGTCCTTGTCACATTGTAATTTTATCTCCTAGCTTCCTTTTACGCCTTAAAATTTCCTTGTTGATTAAAATAATAAAAGATTAAATATCTTTTTATATTTTATTTCTATTTATATTCTTATCCACAAGTGACACATTGAATCAATAAATTTTGTCTCTTAATCATCTTTCTTGATTTTGATATTTGTCTTAATCTAGTGAGGATGAAGATTAATAGAAACAAAAGACAAGAGGATATTTGATTTCTCATATATCTTGTAATAGAGTTTCAAAGATTTTTGAATTATGATAAATTTTTCTATTTTTTTTAAAACACATCTTATTTCAATAAAAGAGTAGTTTTAGTGTCACGTGTCATCTTTTCTCAGCCCCATTTTAACAAAGTGAGATATCATTTTTGCCCTCTTTTCCTCGATCTCGTTGAAATTGGCTCAATCTACCATAGCTCGAGTCGTCTTTTCTTCTCGCTGACTTTCTCCGGACTCCTCTACTGCCGATTATGTGATTATTGTCGTTGCTGCTCTGCTCTTCCTGTACTACGAAAATGCCTCTGACAACCTTTTCTTCTCTATTTTTCTCCAACGAGCAGTTACTATTAGTCGCCATCATACGAGCTCTGTCACCACTATTGCTATTGTGTTCATTCATATTTTTGTGTTTTGTTCATTTTTTTACTTTTCCAATTTAATCATCTCCTTCATATCAAATTGCAAGGTTGTTAATGATTAGGTTTTTTTTTAATACCTACTAGGGTTTATGTTTCACCAAAAGCCTGTTTTATAGCCCATTTTATATTCCTATTTATATGAGGTTAAATCCTTATTTTAATGGAAATAATCAATTATATAATATAATTAACTCTCATCCATCCATCCTCAAATGGTTTGGTTGATTGAAAATTTGACTCTCTCTCTCTCTCAACTTTTTTATACTCTAAGACATTTAACCAGTGGTATGAGTGGTGGATGGGATAGCATAGATCATGGGTTAAAGCTTCCATAATTTGAAGGTTATTTTTATTTATCTACTTATATTATTATAAAAAAAACATTTGGTATTAAGTAAGGCGCATTGGCAAAAAGAAAAAAACAAGAGTGGATTCAGAATTGGTGGAGACAACCAAGTGATTTCAATCTATTTTTCAAGAATCTAAGAAATTAATGACTTGAATCAGCTCTCCATTTAACACACATAAAAATGCTACAAATTGAAAATACACAGGACCCCACCAACAAGCCATCGATGAGTGGGACTGAACTTATAACTTTAACTAAAAACACTACATATAGAGGTTGGCGTTCCGCAACCTTTGTGATGGGACTGCGAAGAGTGGATTTCTTTTCTTTAGAGTAATGCCAAAATTTTCCAAGAGGTCATGGTCTTCACCCTCCGGCAAGCTCCAGTCGAACGAATGTAGGAGCGAGGCCAATATATACAATTGCATTTTCTCCGCCAATGGAACACCAGGACACAATCTTCTCCCAGATCCGAACGGGAAGAAGTTGAGATTGCTTCCTTTGAAGTCATATTTGTTTGTCAAGAACCTCTCTTGATTGAATTCCAAAGGATTGTCCCAATACCGAGGATCCCGATGGATGGCCCAAACATTAAGAAGCACTGTACAACCCTTCGGAATGGTATATCCACCTACCACACGATCTTGGCTTGGTGACCTTGGAAGTATGAAAGGGAGTACAGGGTGCAACCGTAATGTTTCCTTAATAGTTGCATCGAGGTATTGTAGTTTCGGGAGATGAGATTCTTCGACAATCTTGTTGGGTCCTACGATTTGTAGTAATTCTTCTTGAATTCTTTTCATTATGTCATGATTTTGCATAATCTCAGCCATTGCCCACTCTATCAGTCGTTGTCGTTGTGTCTGTTCCTGCAACCATAATGTTCTGATACAACAAAAGGACAAAGTAAAAAGAGGGTTTGATGTTGCTGGATATATATCTGAATGAGCGACATTTGATGTGAACCACAAAATATATAGTACGTAACACTATTTTCAAAGAATATCAACTCGAGATTGGAGTAAATCATTTATAATAACGATTACCAGGAGAAGTGCCTTTATTTGCGTGATGTTAATTGATGTTGGATTTTTTGGTCCATGAGCTCTATAAAGGTCTGTAAAAGATCATTCTTTCCTTCATGACTAACTACATCCTTGGATTTGTTAGAGTTAGATTCGGTTCGATCGTGAATGATTCTTGTGAAAATTCGGTCCAACCGGTCAAGTTGCCTCTTCGTGTTCTGCTCGATGCCTTGTAGATCAAGCCATGCGAGACTAGGGAAGATATCAGACATATTTGGCTTGCTCATCAACTCGACAATATTGGCAACAATGATGTGCAACTCGGCTGTAATCTGGCCACCATTTGCTTTTTCTTCTGAAGTATTTCCCCAAAGCATGCTTGTTAGGACTTTGGCCTCTGTTGAGAAAGCAATCTCACTAATGTCAATTGTGTTCCCGATTTTACTATAAACATTTCTGATAGTTTTCCTAACTTCATCCCTTCTAAAGTACCTAGATGCTTCGACATTCTTGTGGCTTAGGACCTCATGGACAAATATCTTACGAAGGTTGCGCCAATCCGAGTTATTGTCAGACATTACTACATCTTGGCCGCCGTAAGTGATTGCTAATGCAGCGATGGTGGCATTACGGTTAGCAAATATCTCATCTTGTTCACGAACCACAACTTTTGCTAAATCAGGGGTGTTTATCACGACACAAAGTTTGCTTCCGAGGTGGAACTTGAAAATGGGACCATAACTGTGAGCCATATTGACGAACTGTTTGTGCAGATCACGGCTAAGAAATGGAAGGTATCCTACAATTGGCAAGGAACATGGACCTGGTGGCAGTGGTGATCTGCCATTGGAGGAGCTTGAAACTGTCCATATATACCACAAACCAGTCAAGATTATTGCTGAAATGGGCAGAGTAAGCTCGTTTTTGTTGCTGCTCATCACTTCCCACCACCATGACCCATACAACTCACAAAACAATCACACACGGAATAACCTTTTATAACATCCTATTATGAGATACATTTGAGTAAACCAATGTATAACTGATCTGTAAACTATGAACCATATATCTATGTTTTAAGAATAGAAGATATTGTCGTCTTAGAATTATTCGTGACAAGATCCCTGTAGTAATCTCTAAGCGTGAGTTTATGCAATACCTAAAATCCCTATTTTCAAAATACTCATCAATATTGTAGCTACTCAAATTGCAATATCTTAACCTCAATCGACAATCTACATTCCCTTCATGACAGTCTTAATTCACTACTTACTTCCAAAAGTGTGAACGACTGTAGTAGTTTGAATAATTGAAATTACTCATGAAGTATAAACATGCAAAAAGAAACACAAGAATAAATAATTGAATAAGGAAGTACGATACTCATAAATAATTCTCTATTATTCATTCACCAAATCACTTAAATTTATTGTGTTAAAACTTTCAAACATATCACTAACTACTAAAACTAATATCCTCTCTTAGGTGTTTGCTTCTAGCATGTTGGTAATGTTTGACTATGCTCGGAGCCTTTTGTGAAAGGATCTACAACATTATCTTATAATAATACTCTCTTCACCAAAAGGTGTCCTGGTTCTACCTAATGGCGAATATAACAGTATTTTATGTCGTTATGCTTGGATCTACCATCATCCTTTGGTTATTTTAACAAAGAAACCACACCTTCATTACCACATAAGAGTTCCACGTGTTCCTAAATAAATGGAACAACTCTGAGATCCCCGATAAAGTTCTTCAGCCAAGCCACTTCCTTCGATGCTTTACTTTGTTGTAATGTACTCAGACTCACATGTGGAATCAACCACTTTGTCTTGCTTGGAACTTTTCCAAGTAACCGCTCATCTATTCAGTAAGAATACCCATCCAAACTGTGAACAACACTTATCTTGGTCTGTTTAAAAACTGGCATCATTGTAACCACTTACTCTTAACATATCACTACCACCAAGAAGTAGCAATATCTCTTTCATTCGTCGTAGATACGTAAGAATATTCTTCACCGCAATCCAATGGTATCTACCAGGATTTCCCTTAAACCAACTAAACATGCTCAAAGCATAAGACACATCAGGGCAAGTACAAGCCATTGCATACATGAGTGACCCTACAACTGAATCATATGGGACTTGACTCATGTCAACTATCTCTTCATCAATAGTTGGACTTTGAGTCTTAATCAACTTGATAGTACTATGAATAGGCAATTCCCCTTTCTTTGAATTCTCCATACTGAAGCGCTTCAGTATTTTATCCAAATATGTACTCTGGAAAAGACCAAGAAGATGATTCTTTCTATCCTGATGAATCCTTATTCCTAAAATATAGGACTCTTCCCATGGATCCTTCATAGGGAAATACTTCCCAAACCAAGACTAAACTTCTTGCAAGGTTGGGATCTTGTTTCTTATATGGAGGATGTGATCAAAATACAAGACTAGGAAAGTCACCATACTTCCACTATCTTTGACAGATACGCATGACTCATTTTTACTGCTAAAGAACCCAATCTCTTTAACTTTCTTGTGTAAGCAAAGATTCCAACTACGAGATGCTTGTTTTAATCCATAATGGATTTTTCAAGATTACAGACCCTATTAGAAAATTTGGCAGGTAAAAATACCCTCTGGCTGACTCTGTATATGTCCTCAAATAGTTTCCCATTAAGGAAAATGGTTTAAACATCCATCTTTCCAATTTCATAATCATGAAATGCATCTAGTCGCAAGCGTGATCTTAATAGACTAAATCTTTGCTACTGGTGAAAAGTTCTCATCATAGACAATCCCTAGGATTTGTCTAAATCCTTTTGCAACAAGCCTGGATTTATAGGTGTGTACCTTCCCATCTATGTCAGTCTTCTTCTTGAAGATCCATTTGCACCTAACTGTCTTTTGACCAGATACATGATTAATCAAGTTCCATACTTGGTTATCATACATGGACTGAATCTCAATGTTTATTGCCTCTTTGCATTTAGCAGCCTCAGGGGCTGCCATTGCTACCTATTAGTTGTCATGCTCGTCCATATTTAATAGTGTCTGATCACTGGAAAACGTGTCACCATGTACACTAATATGGAAACAATAAAAACTAAGTTGGCATGCTAACCTTAATAGAATGACGAATGAGTACTGAGCTATCAACTGGCTTAATTGGAACCTATTCCTCATGTTGAGTGCTAGTTTTTTTGAAGTTCTTTCATTGGATGACTTTTGAATTTCTTCAAGATCAATAGCACTCCTACTGCCCTCTTTGAAGACGGGCTCTCTCTCGCGAAAGACTCATCTTCAATCTACAAAGACCACATTCTCACTCTGTCTATAGAACAAGTATCAAAAAAGCTTATGTGGGTACCTAATGAAATAACACTTCTAAGCTTTAGGTTCAAGTGTTTCATGCATCTCTCATCTTACGAGTGCTTCACAACCCCATACCATGATATGTGCAAGCGAGGGAGCTTTCCCTATCCACATCTCATGAGTTGTTTTGGCAACCTTCTTTATTGCAACAAGATTCATGATATGAGTGGCTGTCTCTAAGGCAATACCCCAATAAATGAATATGTTGAGAAGATAGACTCATCATGTAATGAACCATATCTAGTAAGGTTTGATTACGCCTCTCACACATACCATTAAGTTGTGGTGCTCTAGGAGGAGTCAGTTGTGAAACAATTCCACATTCCTTAAGATAGTCGTGGAACTCGATACTAAGATAAGTACCACCTCTGTCAGATCTAAGCATTTTTATCTTCATGCCTAATTGATTCTTAACCTCTTGCTTAAACTCTTTGAACATTTCAAAGCTTTCAGATTTATGTTTGCTTAAGTAGATATAACTATGTCTGTTATAATCATTTGTAAATATCACATAGTATTGACTAGCATGTCTTGTGGTGGATCTAAATAGATCTCACACATCGATATGTATTACGCCTAAGAATCCTTCACCTCTTTCACATGTTCCATTGAAAGGTGATTTTGTTATCTTGCCCAAAAGACAAGATTCTCATTCATCTTCTGTCCTAAGATCAAATGATTCCAACACTCTATCCTTTTGGAGTTGGGTGATGTGTTTCTTGGTTATTTGCCCAAGATCACAATGCCAAAAACATGCTTTGTCCACTCCATTGGACGAATCAATATGAAACACACTATTTCCGAGGTTATCCTCATAAGCCATAGTTTCATACACTCCATTACAAGGTAAAGCTTCAAACATAAAAGCACCGTTATAATAAGCACAAATAAAATCAATATCATTATCAAATGAATATCTAAAACCTTGTCTGAATAATGCATTAAATGAAATAATGTTGCACGTCTTATCTGATAAATAATACCAATTAATCAAATTAACCCTAACACCACTACTAAGAACAAGCCCATAATTTCCAATCTTGGTAATAGGTGAAGATATCCTATTCCCTATGATCAAATTGTGCTTCCCATGCTCCACCTATTCACTTTCTCTTAGCCCCTACAAATCAGAACAAATATGGAAACCACATCCTGTGTGAAGGACCCAAGAATGAAAAAGTTATGTGCTACTAACTTGAATAGTGAAAATACCTGAAGAGGACGCCTTGATATTACCATCCTTCAAGTCTTGCAATTATTTAGGTAGCTTCTCCTCGAATAACCCTTTTCTACATAATGCAAGCAAGTGACCTCCTTTTGATCACTGATCGTAGGGACATCAAAGTTGGGCTTCGACTTTGACCCAATGCTAGAGCTTCCAGCATGGGCCTTCCCTTTCCTACTAGATTGGGAAGGAGCCTTCCTCTTTTTCCCTTTGCCATATCCAATGGCCAGTACACAAGCATTTGTTGCAGTAAAGGCATGATTTTTCTTCATCCACAATTCAGCAGTTCGCAACAAATTATAGAGTTAAGTCAATGTTGTCTCCATATTTTTCAAATGATAAGTCGAAACGAACTGTTCATAACTAGGAGATAATAAGTTAAGGACCACATTAATGGCCAACTTATCATCAAACGCCACATTAAGCCTATGGAGTTGCTCTATGTACCTCTGCATGTTTTTTTTATGTGAGCACAAACCAATTCTCCTTCCTTCGGCTTCCACGCCATGAAAGATTTGACGACTTCATAGCATTCTTTTCTCACCTTCTTGTGGAACTTTCCATCAAGGTCGAGAGCCATCTCATATGGCTAATAATCTTCATAGAACTTAGCTAGTTCAGGTGCCGTAGTGGCCACCATGATGTAACTAACGTTTGTGGCGTCATCAGAGAGCTTGTTGTATGAGGAAATTTCCTTAGGAATAGCGGTGGAATAATCGATTTCAGTAAAAGGATTTTTGAGGACATACCATCATATCGAATATTCATCTTCAAGTTCGTCATCCGGTACATGTAGTTGGAACTGGTGAGCTTCTCTTTCGACAAAATCGAGAGTACAAAGAAATTTAAGTTAGATGAGTCGGATTGAGTAATAGCGAGATCACCATTTCCAGACATCTATATAAAGAGATATAGTATTTAGTTAGTGATACAAATTCTTAATATTTTAACCCAAAATAAATATTCAAGGCTAGGATCCAAATCCACAATTCACAATAAAGAAGAGGGATTTCGTATTCTAATTGAGAATTTATCAACCTAGGTAATAAAAAATTACTAATTTCAATCTAGCATGAAACTCCTAGATCGCTTAAGATTCATTGAATCTTATCAATGACATGTTTAATCTCGGATTATGCTCTTCAAATTTGTGACTAGGATGCTGATTAACACAAATAAGGTGTGAATAACCATGCAAACCCGCTTGACAAGCTCGATTTCTTTTATAATCTCAAATTAATGTACCGGTAAACCACACACGCTCCATTAACAATGACAATTTTCGATTTGTCCATCACTCAACTTTATAGTCCCAAAATAGTGTGTCGGTTAA